AAAGCCTGGCCATTGGGCCCGGTGCGGTGGCACAGTGGTTAAGGTCCTCGTCTTGCACGCCCGGGATCCTATATGGGCGCCGGTTCTAGTCCCAGCAGCCCCGCTTCCCATCCAGCTCCCTGCCTGTGGCCCGGGAAAGCAGTCGAGGACGGTCCAAGGCTCTGGGACCCTGCACCCGCGTGGGAGACCCGGAAGAGGCTCCTGGCTTCGGATTGGCTCAGCTCCAGCCGTGGCGGCCGCCTGAGGAGTGAATCATTGGACAGAAGATCTTCCTCTCTGTCTCTCCTCCTCTCTGTATATCAGCCTTTCCAATAAAAATAAAAGCCTGACCATCTCCTTGCACTGCAACACGAACACAGCACTGCATGCCTGCTCGGTTGAGCTCCGCTGGGCTCAGCTGTGCTCGATTGTGCTCGGCGGAGGTGGGGGGGTGAAGGTGCTGGGAATATAGGCGTCTCAGAATGCACCTCGAGAGACAAGGTGATGGTGTCTATTGTCCCAGAGCGCCCGTTCGAAGGCTACCTGGTGGAACATCTTTTCTCAAAATGCCTCATCACGCCAGCGGCAAGAGTATTTAAGTGGCCCGACGTGGGACTACAACTTAAAGAGAGCCCATGGGCATGCAGACTGACGTGGGACTCAAACTCCCACAGTGCCCTGAGCATGCTGACGTGGGACTGCAACTCCCAGAGGGCCCATGGGCACGCAGACTGACGTGGGACTCAAACTCCCACAGTGCCCTGAGCATGCTGACGTGGGACTGCAACTCCCAGAGGGCCCATGGGCACGCACACTGACGTGGGACTGCAACTCCCAGAGTTCTTTGGGTGTCCTGACGGAGTATCTTGCTGGTGAAGGCACCCTGACACTTTACCACAGAGGCCCAGGCTCATGCTAGGCACCAAGCATCCTACACCCCCTCCTGGGCCTTGATATGTGGGCCGTTCGGCCTTGGACTCCTGGTCTTTTAATGACACGTGTCCGGGAGCCCTGTCCGGGACCCCCATCTGACGCTCGGGCAGCTCAGGGCTGGGCTGTCTAGCACTCAGAAGGCCTAAGAACACCCGGGATACAAAGGACAGCTTTGCGCGCCCTCTCGTGGCCAATAGCACTCACTGCAGGACGCTCCTCCTGCCAGATCAAGGGAAGCTGACCCAGCCCAGAGAGGCATTCTCTCTCAAGACCCTCTTTTCAGAGGTTGCACAGGAGTTCCATGACAGAAGCCCTACGCACGCCCTCGAGGTCTGCATTCGCATGTAAAAAAGCAGTCTAGAGCCACAGCACACAGCACAAAACACAGCACACAGCAAAGCACAGGACACAGCACACTCCCTCCCAGGAGCCCAGCAGCTTTCTGTCTCTTCCTGCCTGCCTACCTGCCAGCCTCCCTCTGTCCTATTTGCTTTGAAGTACAGAGCAACAGAGAGGGAGAGGCAGCAATCTTTCTTGCATCTGTTGGCTCACTTCCCCGAGGACCACCAGCAGAGCCAGCTGTGGCTGGGCCAGAACAATCCCGGGAACCAGGAGCTCTCTTCACATCTCCCACAGGGCCACAGGAGCACAGGGGCACAAGCCCCTGCACCATCCTCTGCTACTATCCCAGGAGGATCACCAGGGAGCTGGATGGCAAGGGAAGCAGCCATGTTTTCAAACAGCACACATAGAAGCCATCTGCCTGGAAGGATGAGGCTACACCCACTGGGACATCACCCTGTGCAACCCCACACCACCCGACCTCACCCCCTAAACACTAAACCCTAATTCTAACCCCTAACCCTGTCCCTGCTCCTAACCTTCTAACCCTAACCCGTAACACTAACCCTCTACATTTTCCCTCACCCTCTTAACCCCTAACCGTAACCCTCTAACCCCTAATCCTGTAACCCTAACCCTATAACCCCTAACCCTTAACATCTTAACCCCCTAACCCTTACCCTATCCCCCGATCCTTGATCCCTGACCTGACCCTGTTGCCCCTAACCCCAACCCTTAAAATCTTAACCCCCTAACCCCTTATCCCCTAACCCTAACTACAAGCGCTAATTCTGAAAGCAAAGTTTAACTGATACAAAACACAGCTAAATCCTAACCCCTAAAACAGACACCAATTCACAACCCCAGAACTCACTTACCTTCTCACCTGTTCAGATCTTCAGCCATTTCCAGCAGCGAGTCAGCCCAGGTGGGGCCTTCAACTTCCGGAGGTCCTTGCTGGCACGATGACTGCATACTGATGTGGCAATGCCACCGGGTGTACCCAGGCCAAAAACACAAAGCCTGTAAATCCTCACATCACCTTGTGCCCACATCCAGCCTGAGACATCCCCAATTATAGAGGAGAGACCTATAGCAATGCCATCATATTGGGAAGGGCTTTGCAAAACACCCACCATGCACATATAGTTCCAGCTACAGGATTTTCACATGGTCTGTAAAAATCAAGCAACACTGAGGACAGGGCCTGCACACAGCCAGTCATGACAATCTGACCACAGCATGGTGTCAGAAACAGGAACCTGGCATGCAGGTTCAGCCTGAGGCTGAGTCAATCACAAGACGCATGAAAACTGACTGGGAAGATGACCAAGTGAACCAGTGCCAGAAAATTCAGATTCTCGCGCCCTCTCGTGGCCAACATGACTCACTGCAGGACAAAAAAATATGTGAAGCCCTCAATGCAACCAATCAGGGAGCTGCTCCACTAGCTAAGAACGCTGGGGGCCTACACCTCAAGGTGCTCTGTGAGGCATGGAGATGCTGGTAAGGTTTCCCGAGACATGAAATGCCAAAATTGAATGATAGTCAGCTGGTATGTGACTCCAGCTCCTACAGTGCCTTGGGCATGCTGACATGGCACTGCAGCTCCCAGAACAACGGTCGGCATGCTGATGTGGGACTCCAGCTGCCAGAGTTCCCTGGGCACATGGACATGGGACTCCAGCTCCAAGAGCGCCTGTGGGTATCCTGCCGTGGGACTCTATCTCCCAGGGTTCTTTCGGTGCTCTGACGTGGTACCTTGCTGATGAAGGCACTCTGCCGCTTTTCCACAGTGGGCTGGGCTGACGCAAGGCCCCCAGTTTCCTCCACCCCCTCCTGGGCCTTGTTTTGACAGCTGTTAGGCCTTGAGCCCCTGATCTTTCAATAACACCTGTCCAGGAACACTGACCGGGACCTCCACCTGATGCTAGGATGGCTCAGGCTGGGCTGTCTGGTGCTCAGAAAGCCTGAGCCCGCCCGGGGTAGAAACGGCAGCTTCGCATGCCCTCTCGTGGCCACCAGCACTCACTGCAGGTCGCTCCTGTAGGCTCTCCAGCCAGATCAAGGGAAGCAGCCCAAGCCACAGAGGCGTTTTCTCTGCAGGACACTCTTTTTTAGCAGTTGCAAAGGAGTCCCATGGCAAAAGCCCTATGCATACCCTCGGTGTCTGCATTGGCAGACAGAAGCAGTCTAGAGCCACAGCACGCAGCACAGCACACTGGCTCCCAGGAGCCCAGCAGCTTTCTGTGCCTACCTGCCTGTCTACCTCTGTCCTACTTGCTTTGAAGCACAGAGCAACAGAGAGGGAGAGGCAGCAATCTTTCTTGCATCTGCTGGCTCACTTCCCCAAGGACCACCACCAGAGCCAGCAGTGGCTGGGTCAGAACAAGCCCGGGAACCAGGAGCTCCCACCAGATCTCCCACAGGGCCACAAGGGCACAGCGGCACAAGCCCCGGCAGCATCCTCTGCTGCTCTCTCAAGAGTATTGGCAGGGAGCTGGACTGCAGGGGAAGGAGCCAGGATTTGAAGCACCACCCATACAAGTCATCTGCCTGGGAGGCTGAGGCTTGACCCACTGGGACACCACCCCACAGCACTGGACTCCACCTCTTGCTGGTTTCCCCAGCAGCTCCTTCACCCGGCCAGTGAAGGTGCCTGTCTGCCCGGCTTGCACAACTTACTTTGTTCCATGCTGTGAGAATAAGGAGCACAGGCCCCGAAAACCCTCCCTGTCTAGGCTCCCCGAGTACTACTGCACCTGCTCAAAGCCGCAGAGTTTCTCATGGTGACTTTCCTGAGAGTGGCAGTTTCCAAAATGTTGAACAGGGCTGATAATATACTTACGCTGTTTCCCCAGAGAGGAGTAGAATGCATTCCCCCACACCTGAGGACTGGATCCTGCACAGTGTCTGACTGTTCAACTCTTGAAACTAAGTCTACTGAACGAACGAAGAAACAAGAACACAGTAAACGATAACTTGGTAGAAGAGCTGGCAACATGGCACACTGTACTGTCATGTCAGCATCCCGTATGAGTTCACTTCTTGGTTGCTCCACTTCTGATCCAGCTGCTTGCTAACGCACCTGGGAAACACAAGATGACTCCATTGGTTTGGGACCCCACCAACAATGTGGGTAACCTGGATGAACTTCCAGGCTCCTGGCTCTAGTCTGGCCCAGTTCTGACCATTGTGGCCATTTATGGAGTGAACCAGCAGGTGAATTCTGTAACTCTGCCCTGACCCACTGCCAAAAAAAGACAGGGGCTGGCCTTTTAAGAACAACAAGAACAAAAGAATGTTAAGCCATTTCTAGATTTCTTGTTCTTTTTTTTAAATTGAAAGATTTTTGTTTTGTTAAGGCAGATTTTACAGAGACAAAAGTTTTTTATCTGCTAGTTCACTCCCAAAATGGCCACCATGGTCAGAGCTGAGCTGACCCAAGGTCAGGATATTCCTCTGTGTTCCACGTGGGTGCAGCAGGTTCAGGGATTTGAGCCGTCCTCTGCTCCCTTCCCAGGCCACAAGCAGGGAGCTGGATCAGCAGTAGAGCAGCCAGGACAGAGCTGGTGCTCATTTAGGATGTAGTACTGCAGCAGCAGAGAATTAGTTTGCTATCCCATTGCATCATCACCACTGTTTTAAGATTTCTTACTTCCATTCTCTTTCAAGTAGTCAAGAAAGAATAATTTTATAAAAGACATTCCTAAATCAATAAGAAAACAAGGTCTCACAGGAACAGACAGGCTTCTTGTAATTTATTTGAGTTATTTTCATGTGACAGTTACAAAAGTTTATTTTTTTATAATACTCTTGATAAGAAAATAAAATTTAAATAAAAACACATTCTCAACAATACAACATGGTTACACAACTTCACTACATTAAGGTTTTATAACTTACATCTTTAATCTGGACAATGTAAAAACCAATATTTACCAGCAACATATTAATTTTCAAGCTAATAAAATGGAAGCAGATAATATCAATTAAGATTGGTATATAACTCTAGAATGAGTCTTGTACTTTTCACATACTGTAAGGACACCTAAAATGCTATAGGGGTTTTTGTCTTTACAGAATGTACCGTTAGAACAAATTAAAGGTGCTTTCACTTTAAAAAACATTGTATTTCAAGACGTGGCATGAATGAGCCTTTCCTGTAAGAGATGGATTTGTGTCACTTTTTATGTAATAGAAAGACCTTTGCTTTGACATTTAGTCATTACCACACGATAAAACAGTATTTTGTTGGCAAATAAAGTAGTTCAATTTGATAAATTATATTCTGGTAATAGAAACGTTTGCTACTGCCTATAATCTTTTAAAAAATGAATATTAAAAACTGGAACTAAACTAAAACAAGATCAGCAACAGATTAGCACAACTTCAATTTATGGAAATGGTCAACTGGAACCAGAACTGCCATTTACGACAAGGAGTTTCCCTCTATCTTTTCCTTCTTGGGCTCTCAGGATTGGAGGGAGCAGTGCCCTGTCATGTACACTGTCAACTGCTGGACAACATCAGGGAGCAGTAAACCAGAGTCCTCAGGAGCAGCGTCAGAAGGAGGACCTGGGAAGAAAAGCCCTTGGTTACCTTGGTTACCGGAGGGTCCTGCCAGGGTCTCTTCATTCAAAAGACTTGCAAGAAAAATGAATTTCTCACAACCTTTTGCTATTTTTAGGATGGTTAATTCAAACGAAACTGGTTGTTACTAGAAGTGTCATGTGAGGAAAAACTAGACAGCTGGCCCCTTCACACAGCTGGGTTCCTTGGATTATGCTGTGGTCTTTAGAAAACAAACACAACTGAAGATGTGATGTTAGAAATGTTAAAATGTTTCTCATCTTAAACACAAAGGACTAAAGAGCCACTACAAAGTCAGAACAGGTACACGTAGCATCTACAGGTAGACATTTCAGAGGATCTTAAAGAATTCTATCTGAACAAAAGTGTGAAAGATTCAGCAAATGGCTAAACTCCTGTATAGTATAAAGCAATATAGTTTATGAGATCTAAAAGTTAATAAAATTTAAAGGACTTCCAAAATTGTCTTCTGGCCAGGAGTAATAATCTACCATAATGCAGACTAGTAATGATTCTTAAATAGAACCAATTGACCTTTTTTCACATTTAGAGAAATGACAGTAATGGAACAACTTTGTGTGTATTACCTAAAAACAATGCAATTTAAAAACAGTTACCAATAAAATTGGCAAAGTGTATCTTGAAATATAGCTTATGCTGAGGGAAACAAAAAATGTACTATGAGCTAGACTTACATTAATAAGTCACAGTTTAAAAAGAAACATCTAAATACTCAAAGTTTCAAAGTACCACATTCAGAAAATGTTTGCAATTTACAAAGACGAGAGTACCATGGTCTTTAATACTGATGAAGCAAAATAGATCCCCTCTTAACTTTAAGATGGCAACTTGCTTCGACGGCTTATTTACAGGCATGGTTTTTGGGCAAAAATAAATCATTAGGTAAAAATAGGATTCAAACAGTGTCTTGTCCAAATCCATTTGGCTAGCAGGCAATAAGGAAACAGCAATGAAATATAAACATTTTCAGGATAACATTATTTCTAGACTCAAACACTGATCATTCAACTGATCATAAACATCAGATACCAAGGAGCATCTGAAGCATAATCTGGGGCAGTCCAGATTATTAAAGTGCGCCGAGTGACTGTTCTTGAGTCAGATCACACCCTGCCATTAGAAGGGCAGCCTCGGGTGGCCCTTATTGGAACATGAAACAGCCAGTGAAGCCAAGTGATTCTTCCACCACTGTCTTTCACTATTCATTTTCCCCTCTTTATCAAAAGATGTGTCCTTAGAAGTCACACTAATCTGAACTTTCTAATGAAGAAGTTGAGTACCTGATATTTAAAACAACAGGGGAAAAAATATAAAATCTTAGTGGTCTCTTTTTAATCCATCTGCCATCACTCATCCCAAATGTAAACAAGATGCACACAGTGGTACAGATTCCCTGACACTTCCGATCTGAGTTCTGTCTGCATCTTTAAATAGATAAAGGATCTGCCTCCTTTCAAGGATGCTTTGGCAGTTTTCCACAGTTGCTGTTGCTGATGCTAATGTTACCTGATGTGATGACTGATGAACCAAAGGGAATTTTCTTTTCCCTTTTTAAAGAGCGAGAGTATAGATGAATTAAATGGAAAGCTCTGGATTGGCATGGTTTTGAGATCTTCTAGTAAAACACAATGTTGGCAGTACAGAGCAGGCACTGATGGTAGTGAAAACAAGTTGTACAGAGCTGATGGTTTCTTGCTATGGAAGAGGTCTCCCATTGTTACAAAGCTTTTTTTAAGGATTCTCCTTTAGAAAGAGTCATTCCATTGAAAAGTTGCAGAAACATGGGGTTTGGACACAGAAGATAGGAAGGGACTTGGGTTTCAAATTCTCTAGTAATACATCAATATCAGGTTTCTCCAAAGGTAAATTCATTTAAATATTAAATACAACATGAATGCAGGTGACAATGTTCTTAAATACTATGAACAAAATATGAGAAATTCCAAGAAAAATAGTATTTTCCAGTTCTTCTGAATCAATTGGCCAAACTTTAAGATGTTTTCCCAACAATAGGATTTTCCCTAGAAAAACAAGCAAAAATTTCTTAAAAGCTGAAACTTTGTTTAAAACAAAACAATGCATAACGGAATCCGTTAACCATTTGTAATTTTTCTTTGGATAGTATCTCATGCCAAGCCTTGTTTTACTAGCTCAAAACTATTTACTGATCACTTACTAAATTTTAGGAGCTATCCTAGACCCATAGTTGGGAAGAAAATAAAACACATTCTGATTACAGGGAAAATAATTGAAGATTAGTGCAAAAGTATTGACATTTTTTAAGACTTCCTAGAAAAGTTAGAGACGGGGCAAGGAAAGCGAGATTTTTGATCGGCTGGTTCACTTTCCTGGTGGCTACAATGGACAGGGCTGCAACAGTCTGAAGCCAGGAGCATAATTAGGTCTCCCACCAGTGCCTAAGCTTGGGCCATCTTAGGTCCTTTGCCCAGGCCATTATCAGGGAGCTAGACTGGAAGTGGAGCAGCCAGGACCTGAGCTGGTGCCGTATAGGAGCTCTACTAAGAACTCTGGCTCCAATGTTGGCTTTTCAATGTTGGCTTTTTTTTTTAACTTTCTTTCTTTTTTTTTTTTTTTAAAGATTTATTTATTTTATTGCAAATTCAGATATACAGAGAGGAGGAGAAGAGGAGGGAAAGACAGAGAGGAGGACCTTCTGTCCAATGATTCACTCCCAAAGTGGCCGCAATGGCTGGTGCTGCGCCAATCCAAAGCCAGGAGCCAGGAACTTCTTTCCAGGTCTCCCATGCAGGTGCAGGGTCCCAAGGCTTTGGGCCATCCTCTTCTGCTTTCCCAGGCCACAAGCAGGGAGCTGGATGGGAAGTGGAGCTGCCGAGATTAGAGCCGGCGCCCATATGGGATCCTGGCGCATTTAAGGCAAGGACCTTAACCATTATGCTATCACACTGGACCCTTTTTTAAATCTAAAACATTGCTGTTGTTCACTCCCCAGATGACTGCAACAGCCAGGACTGGGCCACGCTGAAGCCGGGAGTTTTATCTGGGTCTCCCATGTGGGTACAGAGGCCCAAGGACGTGGGTCATCTTCCACTTGCTTTTCCAAGGCCATTATCAGGGAGCAGGACTCAAATCAATGCCACAGGAGATGCTGGAGTTACAGGTGGTGGCTTTACCCACAGTGCCAGCCCCAATGATAGCACTTTAAAACAATAATAATTACTTTTTTTAACTGGAAAGGCAGACTTAGAAGAGGAAATAGAGCACTTTCACCTGCTAGTTCATTCCCTAAATGGCTGCAATGGCCAAAGTTGGGCTGCTCTGAAGCCAGGTGCCAGGAGCTTCTTATGGGTCTCCCATAAGAAGGCCCAAAGATCTGAGCCAGCATCTGCTGCTGCTTCCCCAGGTCATTAGCGGGGAAGTGGATCAGAAATGGAGCAATGAGGACTCAAATTGACACCCATATGAGCTGCTGGTGCCATAGGAAAGGTGTAATCTGCTTTGCTACCACACTGGCCCTGGTATTTTTTTAAGTGGATTTAAAAAAATTTTTTTAATTTTCAAAGAGTTCCAGAGGAGGAAAAACACAAAACACAGAGATTCTTCTGTTGGTTCTCCCCAGGTGGCCACAATAGATAGGGCTGGGCCAGTCTGAAGTCAAGAACTTCTTATTTGGGAACAGGTGTGTCCAAGACTTGACCCATCTTCCTCGGCTTTTTCCACACTATCAGCAGAGAGTAGCTGGGACACAAGCCAGTGCTCACATGGGATGCTGGCATTTTTTTTTTTTTTTTTTTTTTACCAGAAAGACAGAAGCTGGGAAAGGTAGAGTATGCACAGGTATGGGGAGGGGTGTTAGTAAGATAATCAAGCACTGGCTAAGAACGCACATGGAAACTTCCCAGTGTGCCAAAAAACTGGATTACTACTCTTGGAAGAGAACCAATTATTGCAATGCAGAAAAGACAGAATTACAGTATCATTTTTCTAAAATAGAGAGCTTTCTATTTAGCAAAACATTATACTTGTTTAAGTGATTTTTATTCATAAAATTAATGGATATGATCTTCAAAGACTATTCAAAGTATTGGGGCTATGATCCAGAGTCCTTGCTAACCAGCTGTGTGCATGGCCAAGCCTCTAGCTGTGGGAACAATGCATGTCTGTGCTGAGGCCATTATTAGTGGGTCAAGAAGCTCCGTGCCTATCTTGTACAGAGTCCCAATCTGTTCTGGTGTTGAGCAGCCCTGTTTCAGGGTGGTTTCTTTGTCCTAAGTGGGGAAATGCCTTTTCTGCCCCTGGACATTATGGTCTACAAATGTGGGGCCATGAGCTACTGAGGCTCATCTGTGACCACGTGGAGATGAGTTTGAGGAAGACCAATCATCTCACTGATGATGGCTGGGTGGCAGAGAGTCTGAGCCATTCAATTATCAAGTATAGCATTGGGACTAAATTTAAGAGACTAAAACACTTATTTAGGCCATATCATTGTCACTAAAAGTAATTGATATGATATGAAGTGCTAGGTATAGTGGCCAGAAAGAGTAAGTTTCCAATAAAATGTTAGCTGTGCTGGTATTTATTTACTTAACACTCAACTATGAGGGTAAGTCCAAAAGGTAAAAAAACAGAATTAAAAGATAATGTAGGGGCCAGTGCTGAAGCATAGTGAGTTAGGCTGCTGATTGCAGTCCTGGCTGTTCCACTTCAATCTATTTTCCCATTAATGTGCCTAGGAAAGCAGTGGAAGATGGCCAAGGTGCTTGGGGCTTATACCTATGTGGGAGACTTAGAAGAGGCTCCTGGCTCTGGTCTGGCCCAGCTGGGTTGTTGCACTATTTAGGAAGTACACTCAGTGAATGGCAGACCTCTTTCTTTGTAATTCTGCTTCTGAAATGAATAAAATTCTTTTTAAAAACGGTAATACAGTAGAGCTTGGCCCTGTATTTCAGACACTGCTTGGTCTGCCTGCACTCTGTAACAGAATGCCTGGAACTGAGGCCCCGCTCTGCTTCTGACTCCAGCTTCCTGCTCATGTGCATCCTAGGAGGCAGTAGGCCATGGTTCAAGTGGCTGTACCCCTGCCATCCACATGAGACATCCTGAGTGAATTCCTGGCTCCTGTCTCAACTTGGCCATGCCCTGCTACTGCAGGAATTTGGAAAATGAACAGGAGGTTGAAAGATCTTTCTCTGGGTCTTAAATAAACACAAAAATCATTACTTTAGTGACATTTTGAAGCCTCAAATATCTGAGATAGGTCCACAAAATCAACAATAAAATACTTCCAGCACTTTCATACCTTTAAAAATATATAAGCTTAAAAAAAAAAAAGAAATTGTGTCAGGTAGTGTAAGAGATAGAAAGGCTTATTAGGGTTAGTATTTAAGGAAGGAATGGCAATTGAAGATGAAAGTAGGTACAGTACAGTACTAACATGATCTAACGATCATGAAATCAAAACAGACCAAAGTTCTCTGAGTTCAAACATCTGATAAAAGTTTCACAGGATAAAAACTTGACAAATAAAGGCACACAGAAGGGTCTGGGGGTCAGCTGAGAAGACAGGGCAGGAAAGTGGTCATAAACTGTTCAGAGCAGCTCCAATACTTACTTGCTACCGTACTTTGCACTACTTGATCTTTTCTTTCTATACTTTTCATGAGGTTCATCCAGCTTCTCTATGATGCTTTTTATTTGCTGAATCGTCTTAAAGGTTGTTACAGAATCTTCAATTACAAAGTTAGAATAATCATCAGGCTCTTTCTGTGGTCCCTGGTAGACTGCTATTGTTCCGCAGGCCTCTACAAGAAACAGCAGAAATCTGGGATTAGACCACTTACTCCCATAAACACAATTTGTACCCTAAGAACTTAAAGGTTTCTAGCTAGGGAAACTTCCCTTGGTAGTGCATAGATGTCTAAAATGCAGACATTTGATTAAGATCACACATAAAGATTGTACTCTTACTTCATGATATTTCAACTTTCATTTCGGTGTTCAAAAAACCCAGCATTCTTGACTTCTATGAATGCTGCCAAAGCAACACTTCAGAAATTGAAAATAAAAGACCAAGGTTATATAAAGATAATAGTGAAATTACCTTCCATCTTCTGCAGCTTCAGTAAACTGAGAGTAAAGAGTGAATAAATTCTTTCTATTTCTCTGTCTTCATCAATATCTATTTGGATGTCTGCAGGGATACCTCTATGGTAAAGACAGTGGGAAAGTTTTACTTCATTAATATGCTAAAGGCTTTCAATATTTGAAACTAAAAACAAAATTTGAACTACAGAAAGTTAGTTTCATGAACATTCTTTAAAAAATGGGGTCAAGAGGAGCTTGGCTGTTCTGAGACTCTAATCATAAGGAGGGGGGTTATAGTTAACACAGTTCTCCCAACCTATGCTTCATTACAACGGCAAGATCTGACTCTGTAAGTCTACAGAGCTGCATGGCTGTTCCATACAGCAGGACACAGAAATCAAGTGCTATTTTTTCTTGCTGTCTTGTTGAGGCTTCTAACACTGGTGTGTGTGTGTATATGTGTATGTAGAATTTTTGCAACCACTATTGAGATTCTCAGCATTCCACATTCCTCCCTTGACAACGACGAATCAATGTTGTCTTTATGAACACACTTTTCCAGATACTTTATATCTGTTCTCATATAATGTGTGGCTTTTATGTCCAGCTCCCATAATTCAGCATAATGCCTCCCACATTCCTCTGTGCTGCAGTGTGTTGATACTTCTTTTGCCTGGTAAAATAATCTCCCATTTAACTACATGGAAATGTACTTCAAAACATGGCTTTTGCAATCAGAAGGAAACTTACGCAGTACATGGCTTGCAGCCAGGAGTGTTTTCACTGGTTTCTTGGCAGCACAACCAGTTTCCATTTAGAAAAGCAGAAGGATGAAAAGAACTGAGCCTGTTCTGATTGCACCGGCTCACCCTGCAGAGGACATCTATCCATTCATTAGCTTCTACACAATTATTCGCCTGGACGTACAGTGGCTTCTCCGTATGTATTACTTGGAACATCTTCATAGGTAATTAAAATAAAGTTAGTGATAGAATTTAAAAACCAACACACAGTACAAAGCAGAATATTAAAAAAAAAAAAAAAAATCTAACTAGTCTGATTAGATGACAGTTAGAAATGTTACTTTTCAAGCAAGCAGTCTGCAATTCACCAAGCAGTACAACACATTTTGTAACTTTGAGGAATCACCTGAGCCCAAAGGAACAGACTCTAATGCAAGAAGGAGTGCCAAGTTTCCAACAGAAGAAAAAGAATGAGTGAAGGCAAAGCAACAGGGGAACCCTGAGGAGCAAGGAAATCACCTGTGTGGACTGGAGTGTCTGGGAGCCCACTCACTAGCTAGGAGGTTCGGCTGGGATTATGACACTCAGACCCTTGGATGGCCAACAGGGAAGTTTAATCAAACAGAAACACTGAGAAAAGCACCTGTAACTTATTCACAGGCAGACTGCATGAGACATCAATATGGACAATTTTAGGACAGCATTCAAGTTATCAATTAATGATTAACAGTAAAAAATAAAACTCCCTGTAAATTTTCTAAGGTATACATACAATTTAAAACTATTTAAATATGACTTACGTTTTTCTTGTTAAAAGAACTCTCTTCCAATTTTTCCACAGCAAGAATGTTTTTTACTGGAATTGTGTAAATAGCATCTTTGCCTAAGTAACAGAAGTAGGACAAAATTAAAACAATTTTCATCAAAATTTTAAAGGTGAGAGGTTCCCTATAAAGTTTTTCTTCTTGATGGCAGAACGAAATGCAACCCAAAGGGGATTTAGACATGACTTTCATAAAAGTATTTTTGTCTCATGAACAACATGATTTTTGATTTCTCTACGGTGACTTTTTTCATTCATATTAAATGTTTTCAAGGGGAAATTATGGGGCCACATTTATTCTCTATGTACAAATTGGAATGCTACCAAATTTTGTTACAATAACTGAACGGGGACTGAAAAATGAATATACTTGGCAATACAAGTCTACTTAAAAACTTGTTGAAATTTTCTTTCCTGGAAATTACATAAGCAGTGAATATGACGACATAAATCCATTCTTATTTTTCTAACCAAATATTTAACGAATATTTTGATTGACCCTCACAATGTTTTTAAGCAAATGTAAAACTACTGTATATTGATTAGTTAACTAAAGCTGGAAAATTTACTCTGAGATACAGGGAACAAACATTCATTTGGTAGAATGAATCCTTGACCCTAATAACTTGGGAATCTGAGCTTGATAAAGGAGGTTCCAAATTAACTCGACAGGAGAATACAATGCAATGCAGTCCATCTAGGACAGATGTATCTCAGCCACAGACACCAACAGGCAAACAGAATTCTGACTTGCGGTCATTTTATAATTCTATTCTTAGAAAATCAAAGCATTGCTCTGAACTCGCCCAGTGCTCCCAAGATTTGTTATAATGATATGCAGACTGAAGTATAGAAAATAGAGGTAAAATAACATATTTTATACTAATAAATTAATGTACTTTTATGGCAGGGAGAAGTGTTTGGTTAATAAAGTCTTTCTGTCTTAGAGAGGTTAACAGAATATTTGCTAATCCTATTCCCTTATGTAGATCTAAAATTTATATAAGCAAAGTAGTTGTGCTATGTATGTGTGTATATATACGTCTTAAAAAGATAAAACATATTTAATTCAATTATCCTACAGTGGATGTCTGCTAGTCCAGGCACCATCATATTATCATATAATAACAAAAAGAACACAGAAGTTTGTATTAGTTCTTGAAAGATTGGTTAAAGACGGGTAAATATTAGAGATGAAAGCTCCAGTGAAAATAAACTGGGGTGATGTAAAGCAACTGGAAGCTACTTAAATTGTCTGGTTAGGAAAAACTTTTCTGAGGCATTGCTATTTGAAATCAACCAATATAAATCATGGAATTGTATAAGAAGATGACTGGCAGTCCTCTGAAAGCAGACAAAATCACAGTTAGGACAGCAGGTGTGGGGCAGGAAGCCACAGCCACAGGGAGGATAGGACATCTGCAGAAGTGGGAGTGGTTAGAGCATAGCTTCAAGCCAGAGCCAGTGAACACACACAGCTGGAGGGTGGGGAGACGTCCTCTGAAATGTCTTAGGATTAACCAGTGTGCGCTGTAGCTGGAACAGACTCTCCCTACTTACTGGTTTCAGTTAAGGAACACTCAACAGAGGCTTACACCTACACTTGGAAGCAGCAAGGACTCAGAGGGGACACGGCAGTGCAGCCTCACAGGAAGCTGCTGACAAGAGGAAGGAAGCAGAGCGCTCACCCAGTAAACAAACAGCAGCACTTTCCCCTCAGTAACCCGTCTTGATCCTCTCTCATAATAACTCATGGCAAGCTACTCAACACTCATGCAGGTGTGTAAAACAAAAGGACGAGTAAATCATCAAAAGAAAATCATCAAAAACATGAGGAAAATTGGCACTTGAAATGAGACACACATGTAGCGCAGGAAATTAGGAGTGCAGTGAAGGGAGGACTTGTCTTTGGGTATCACAGATTTCAGTGACAGAATTCTTAAAAATTTGAGGGTTTCTACCTTCAGATGTATTAAATGAAAAGCATGCATATTTCCTAAAATTGCTGTATTTATTGATTTTTTTTAAAAGACTTATTTATTTTTATTGGAAAGGCAGATTTATACAGAGGAAGATCTTCCTTCCATGGTTCACTCCCCAAGTGGCCGCAACAGCCAGAGCTGAGCTGATCTGAAACCAGGAGCCAAGAGCTTCCTTCAGGTCTCCCACATGGGTGGCAGGGTCCCAAGCTTTGGGTTGTCCTCCACTGCTTTTCCAAGTCACAGGTAGGGAGCTGGATGGGAAGTGGAGCAGCTGGGACACGAACCAGCGCCCATATGGAATCCTGGTGCATGCAAGGCGAGGATTTAGCCACTGTGCCATCGCATCGGGTCCATGTATTTATTGATTTCTGAACAAATCAAAATGCAACATAGGCAGAGAAAACACACTGCTTTCAGGCACATACACTGCCATACTGTTCTTAGGGTTAACTTGATAGCCAATAGTGTGAAAAGGAAAGGATTACAGTATCTAATTCCTTTTATGTGAATCTACCAGAGTAAGCAGATCCACTCAGTGGTTGCCAGGGTCTTGGAGAATGAAGAAAGTAACTGTTAGAGGGCCTCTTTTCAGAATTATTACACAACTTTGTGAATTTAGTTGTTCCTTGGGTTCAGGAACTCATGAAAGCGAAAATCTTCAGATGCTCAAGTCTCTTCTAAACAATGGTATAAGTATTTGCACATAAAATATACACATTGTCTTTTAAAATCATCTTATATAGCGGGCCCAGCATGGTAGCATAGTGGCTAAAGTCTTTGCCTTGAACATACTGGGATCCCATATGGGCACAGGTTCTAATCCCAGCAGCCCCACTTCTCATCCAGCTCCCTGCTTGTGACCTCGGAAAGCAGTTGAGGACAGCCCAAAGCCTTGGGACCCTGCACCCATGTGGGAGAGCGAGATGAACCTCCAGGCTCCTGACTTTAAATTGGCTCAGCTCCAGACATTGTGGTCACTTGGGGATTGAATCATCGGAGAGAAGATCTTCCTCTCTGTCTTTCCTCATCTCCTTACATCTGACTTTACAATAAAAATAAATAAATCTTTTAAAAAATCATCTTCTATACTTTAAATCACCTCTTGGTTACTTATAATTTATTTAGTTATGTTATAACTTATCACCTGAAATAACTGTTAGTGTAGTGTTTAAAGAATAACAAAGAAACTCTACATATTCTATATAGATGATCATCCTAGTCCTAACTACATTTTCAATGTGCTGAATCAGAGATGTAGAACTCCTCTGACCATACAATGAAAACCAATAAACTATACACTTTAAAAGGGTAGAGTTTATGGAGTGTTAATTATGTCTTAACTTTTAAAACAATCCAACAAAAATAGAAGTCTATTTACATATGAAACCTAAAGGACACAACTAAAATAAAATAATAATAACTTTTTGATAATACAAAAATAGTGAGTGACTCATTGTTACAGAAATGAAGTATAAAACTGAGAGAATTACTGGAAATAATGGCTTCAGGGATCTGGGAAACAACAGGCAGCAGAGTAACCTGGGACAGTTTACTCATGAAAAACTGCACAGCTGAAGATGGCTTTCTTACCTAGGGCTCGCCCCATCTTCCTTAATTGCATTAGTGCTGGGGACAGGTTACAGATTCAGTTTAGTGATGAGACTGGGCACACAGAGCTATTGAAGGCCCCAATAAGAAAATTTCCAGATCCCTGGCTTACTGCTGAAGTATACGCATAAGGAAGGAACTTTCCAAAGAGTGAAGCAAAAATCGAAAACCTGGAGACTTCTAATTACTAAACTATACAACTCTCCCAAAGAAGTAGGCCTGGGAGGTGTGGCTCCTGAACAGGCATCCGTAACTACCCAGTCTTACACACATATACTCTGAGACTCTTTGTGTAGACCATCCTTGAGAAAACAGAATCCAAAAACTGACAACTACGGTTTTTAACTGTAAGACAGACATGGCAATCACCTAAGAAAAAAAATTGGTCAACTGAGTAGGCCTCAAATGCTCAAGAGAAACAGGCTAATGTCTCAGTGAATATCTAAAGCTAAAAATGGAAATGGTAAAAAGCGGGATTCTGGTGTATACCAAACAGTATGGAAAATCAAACAATTCCCAACAACTCAACAGTAGACTAGAGATCATAGGATTAGCAGTGACATTAAATAGAAATTCCTATTTTGAAGAACAGAGTAGCAGGGTATAATGAAGAACAGGCTGTGTCTCAGATCTGTGAGACAATATCAACTATCAACATAATCGGAAATCTGGAAGGAAAAATGGATAGAAACTTCCCCAGTTAGGTAAAATGCATCTTATAGGTCAAAAAACATGAACAACTTCTTGAAAATTATCAGCCAACTTTAGCCAGTGTTGCATTCTACTGGATGAAGTCATTCTCATTTGAAAGGCAAAGAAATACAACTCTTCCATCTTTTGTTTTACTCCTCTAAACAGCCGCGATCATCAGAGGTGGGCCAGGCCAGCCACAGGCTCAGAGCTCAATGTGGGTTTTTTGTAACAGCGGCTCCACAGTGGAGCTGTCACCCACTGCTTCTCAGAGTGCACATGAGCAGGACGCTGTACTGGGAGCAGAGAGCAAGGACTGCAATACAGGATGTGCACGGAGAGTGACAACATCACTGCTGTGCCTGCTTCAGTTCCCAAAGTTTCGATTTTTAATGAGATCTAAGTGAGTTTTTTTAAGATGTATCTATGTTTGTTAGAAAGTCAGATCTATAGAGAGAAGGAAAGACAAAGATTTTTCATACACTTGTTAACTGCCCAAGTGGCCGCGACGGCCGGAGCCAGCCGTTGCAAATCTAGGAGCCATGAGCTTCTTTGGCGTCTCCCACACAGGTGCGGGGTCCCAAGGCTTTGGCGCCGTCCTCGACTGCTTTCCCAGGTAGCAGGCGGGGAGCTGGATGGGAAGCAGGGCCACTGGGACACCGACTGGTGCACATATGGGATCCTGGTGCATGCAAGCTAAGTATTTCGGCATTAAGCCCTCGCGACAGGCCCTAGCATTTTCTATAGTCAAGACTGCTTGTAATGGTGGTCTTTGGTTTG